TCTGACGTCACCGCTGTCGCTGGCCCAGCTGAAGTATGAAAATCATATTGCTGATCTACTTGCCTGTTCCACATGCTCTCCGTACAGGCTTATGTTAAAGCCAAACTCCGGGGAAACAATGATAGCTCACCCAGCACATTGGTGTGTACAGTACATGATCGTTATATAGATTTGTGTTATGTACAGAGGGGCTGCTGCACGGTACAAAGCTCTAGCACATAACACCGGGGAATGAGGGATGCGGCTCGAGCACATAACACCGGGGAGTGAGGGATGCGGCTCGAGCACATAACACCGGGGGGTGAGGGGAGCGGCTCGAGCACATAACACCAGGGAGTGAGGATACGGCTCGAGGACATAACACCGGGGGGTGAGGGGAGCGGCTCGAGCACATAACACCAGGGAGTGAGGATACGGCTCGAGGACATAACACCGGGGGGTGAGGGGAGCGGCTCGAGCACATAACACCAGGGAGTGAGGATACGGCTCGAGGACATAACACCGGGGGGTGAGGGGAGCGGCTCGAGCACATAACACCAGGGAGTGAGGATACGGCTCGAGGACATAACACCGGGGGGTGAGGGGAGCGGCTCGAGCACATAACACCAGGGAGTGAGGATACGGCTCGAGGACATAACACCGGGGGGTGAGGGGAGCGGCTCGAGCACATAACACCAGGGAGTGAGGATACGGCTCGAGGACATAACACCGGGGGGTGAGGGGAGCGGCTCGAGCACATAACACCAGGGAGTGAGGATACGGCTCGAGGACATAACACCGGGGGGTGAGGGGAGCGGCTCGAGCACATAACACCAGGGAGTGAGGATACGGCTCGAGGACATAACACCGGGGGGTGAGGGGAGCGGCTCGAGCACATAACACCAGGGAGTGAGGATACGGCTCGAGGACATAACACCGGGGGGTGAGGGGAGCGGCTCGAGCACATAACACCAGGGAGTGAGGATACGGCTCGAGGACATAACACCGGGGGGTGAGGGGAGCGGCTCGAGCACATAACACCAGGGAGTGAGGATACGGCTCGAGGACATAACACCGGGGGGTGAGGGGAGCGGCTCGAGCACATAACACCAGGGAGTGAGGATACGGCTCGAGGACATAACACCGGGGGGTGAGGGGAGCGGCTCGAGCACATAACACCAGGGAGTGAGGATACGGCTCGAGGACATAACACCGGGGGGTGAGGGGAGCGGCTCGAGCACATAACACCAGGGAGTGAGGATACGGCTCGAGGACATAACACCGGGGGGTGAGGGGAGCGGCTCGAGCACATAACACCAGGGAGTGAGGATACGGCTCGAGGACATAACACCGGGGGGTGAGGGGAGCGGCTCGAGCACATAACACCAGGGAGTGAGGATACGGCTCGAGGACATAACACCGGGGGGTGAGGGGAGCGGCTCGAGCACATAACACCAGGGAGTGAGGATACGGCTCGAGGACATAACACCGGGGGGTGAGGGGAGCGGCTCGAGCACATAACACCAGGGAGTGAGGATACGGCTCGAGGACATAACACCGGGGGGTGAGGGGAGCGGCTCGAGCACATAACACCGGGGAGTGAGGGATGCGACTCGAGCACATCTCTGCCCCTCCTTACTACTCGCCTATTCACAAAATGCCTTGTATTATTCACATAGAATACAAGGTGTTGTGTGATTGGAATACTGGGATTCTGGGAGGAAGCTGCCAGTGCCGGACCAATCGGCTGCAGCTTTATGAGTAATGCACAGGGCCACCACTGACAGCTTCCTTCTGGGTTTGGTTTAGCTCGGATTTGGTCTGAACCTGAGCTGATCCCTACCCAGGGGTAGACAACCTTGGCACTCCAGCTGTGGTGACAAGTCCCATGAGGCATTGCAAGACTCTTTGACAGTCACAATCATGACTCCCAGAGACAGAGGCATTATGGGATTTGTAGTGTCACCACAGCTGGAGTGCCGAGGTTGCCATGCACTTCCTCCTTTCTGGCTGCTCTACATGCAGCTTTGGTTCAGCTGGGCTGATAAATGAGCCGACTCGTCTCTGGTGTGAGCTGCACCTAATAACAATGTGGCTTGGGATCAGTTCATGGAATGAAGTCTTCATGGACATCTAACAGACGCGCTTCCCTCGGCCAGGAACTGCTAATAAAGGTCGTGTGTTGTGAAGACGCTCCAGTGACCGTGCAATTAGAGGGAATTTATGTGTCCGGTACATTTTAAGCGTCTCGCTCATTATGTTGAACAGTAGAAAGGCATCATGGCACACTCACAAACCAGCATGTAAAACAACTTTGCTCACCACTAAGGACAATGACAGAGATTTGGATACACGTCTTCTGCAAAGGATGTGTAAGCCGCACTGCCGCGCCAAGGCACCTCTTATAGTGCGGTCCTAACTCTAAACTATGAGAGTCTCCATCTTGGAGCACATGGGGGCAGAAGATATCAAATTGGGTGCAGGCCTGTCAGGAGGACGCCCCACCTCCTTAAAGGTACAGAGACACACAAGGGATCCCGCACATCCCATTGGCAGCTGAGAAACCCCATTGAGTGCGCTTGTCGTTTGTTTTGCTTTATCGCTCATTATGTTGAACAGTAGAAAGGCATCATGGCACACTCCCAAACCAGCATGTAAAACAACTTTGCTCACCACTAAGGACAATGACAGAGATTTGGATACACGTCTTCTGCAAAGGATGTGTAAGCCGCACTGCCGCGCCAAGGCACCTCTTATAGTGCGGTCCTAACTCTAAACTATGAGAGTCTCCATCTTGGAGCACATGGGGGCAGAAGATATCAAATTGGGTGCAGGCCTGTCAGGAGGACGCCCCACCTCCTTAAAGGTACAGAGACACACAAGGGATCCCGCACATCCCATTGGCAGCTGAGAAACCCCATTGAGTGCGCTTGTCGTTTGTTTTGCTTTATCGCTCATTATGTTGAACAGTAGAAAGGCATCATGGCACACTCCCAAACCAGCATGTAAAACAACTTTGCTCACCACTAAGGACAATGACAGAGATTTGGATACACGTCTTCTGCAAAGGATGTGTAAGCCGCACTGCCGCGCCAAGGCACCTCTTATAGTGCGGTCCTAACTCTAAACTATGAGAGTCTCCATCTTGGAGCACATGGGGGCAGAAGATATCAAATTGGGTGCAGGCCTGTCAGGAGGACGCCCCACCTCCTTAAAGGTACAGAGACACACAAGGGATCCCGCACATCCCATTGGCAGCTGAGAAACCCCATTGAGTGCGCTTGTCGTTTGTTTTGCTTTATCGCTCATTATGTTGAACAGTAGAAAGGCATCATGGCACACTCCCAAACCAGCATGTAAAACAACTTTGCTCACCACTAAGGACAATGACAGAGATTTGGATACACGTCTTCTGCAAAGGATGTGTAAGCCGCACTGCCGCGCCAAGGCACCTCTTATAGTGCGGTCCTAACTCTAAACTATGAGAGTCTCCATCTTGGAGCACATGGGGGCAGAAGATATCAAATTGGGTGCAGGCCTGTCAGGAGGACGCCCCACCTCCTTAAAGGTACAGAGACACACAAGGGATCCCGCACATCCCATTGGCAGCTGAGAAACCCCATGCGTCGCTGCACCAAATCGGTAAAGCAAAACAAACGACAAACGCACTCACCAATTTGTTACCAGTTATACAGTAAGGTGCACACGAAATGGGCTTTGGACAAGAAAAAAAAAAAAAAATAAATAAAAAAAAATATAAATATAATTTTTTTAATTAATTAAAAAAATTATATTTATATTTTTTTTTATTTATTTTTTTTTTTTTTTCTTGTCCAAAGCCCATTTCGTGTGCACCTTACTGTATAACTGGTAACAAATTGTTGAGTGCGTTTGTCGTTTGTTTTGCTTTATCGCTCATTATGTTGTCATTGCTCCGCGAGTGCCGTAAACAAGCAAGAAGAACTCTGCTATAGACCTGATCATAAACTGACCCTGTTGGCTGCATGTAAGGACCACAAGCTTGTGACATCTCAGGGGCCACAGCTGACCTCCTTTTGGTATTTAGTAACAGTTGGGGTGTCTGTGTGGCCCGTTACAGGAGTCACATCCCGGCTGATGAAGGAATACAGAATATTTCCCTGACGCATGTTTGGTTACTGTCTACTTCTAGCGAAACGCGCTTGTGTTAGTGGCACCCCATTGGCCAGCTTGAAGCTCCCGTGTCACCCAGTGACGAGGGACTATGGAGCCTGCTTCCTGGCCAATCAGGAAGATGGGCACTGTGTAATGACTCGCTGCCCGGCTTCCTGATTGGTCGAGAAGCTGGCCATTCAGGAAGCCAGGCGGTGAGTCATTACACGGCGCCCGGCTTCCTGATTGGCCAGAAAACAGGCTCCATAGTCCCTTGTCACCTGGTGATGAAGAAGCATGGAGACGGCTTCCCGACTAATCAGGAAGCCAGATGGCGAGTAATTACACGGACTTCCGGTACCGGTATTCAGTATCGGCGAGTACCGGGAAAAAAATATATGAACTCGATACGGAAAAAACAGTATCTGTGCATCCCCACTGGTAATCCTGTCATGAAGGTCCTTGTGCAGGTACTTCCTGTTATAGAGCAACAGCACCCAGTCTACCAGTTGTCACCCCGTCACATGGGTTTCAGATGGAGGCTACAAGTGGCCCTTTAACACACATTACACAGACGTGGTCCACTGTTGTCACTGCGGGAAAACATGTAGTCATCACAGCAGTGCATATAGACAGGAAGTGGCTGCAGGAGATCAGCAGCACTGAGATGCAACAAAGGGGAAACAAGTATTTTATTAAAAGAAAATGGGAATTGTTTCTGATACACGGAGCTTTAGCAAACCAAACATGAAGCAGTTTAGCTGAAATTTCTCCGGTCCTTTATAAGTTACACTGAAGAGAATAATAGACTCTGCGACGCCTGGACCCGATCAGACCGGCACTGACCGTCATATGTTATATAGAATGTTGTTGTGGATGGATCTGCAGTATCACCCCAATGATTGCTCCCTCTTACAGGCGACGTCACACGTCTCAGCGCGGCTCCTTAGAGCTTCTAGATGATATAGCAGAATTCTCAGCCGTGCCAAGGTATTCCTCCGCACAGAGGCCCGCCCCCTCTGCTAATAACCCCACAGCATACTAACCATTACCATCTCTGCCCCCCAGTCAGATTATATCACGCTGCCTTCACCTCTAAACTTTGCATTTGTCTTCTCTTCACTTGCTGTGGCTTTTGCTGGGATCTTTATTGGGAATGTCAGTTCAATGTTACAGCTCCCGCTATGCAGGATACGCTTCATACCCACACAAAGGTATGCGTCACAACAAGGTGCACCTTTTCCTTTTACCTTCTCCCCTCACCCAAAAGATCCCGCCTTCCCAAATGTGTACTAATGACACCTCGGCCTCCAGAGATATTTCACATCCCTTGCTGCAAGTCTTCTCTCTCTTGTACCTGAGTGGTAGAACCCCATAGACTTCAATGAGGTCCATCTACCTCCATCTCCTGGACAGACGACAAGGCCCCATAGACTTCAATGAGGTCCATCTACCTCCATCTCCTGGACAGACGACGAGCCCCCATAGACTTCCATGAGGTCCATCTACCTCCATCTCCTGGACAGACGACGAGCCCCCATAGACTTCCATGAGGTCCATCTACCTCCATCTCCTGGACGTAAGACGGGCCCCTTAGACTTCTATGAGGCCCATCTCCTGGACGTAAGACAAGCCCCTTAGACTTCCATGATGTCCATATACCTCCATCTCGTGGACAGACGACGAGCCCCCATAGACTTCCATGAGGTCCATCTACCTCCATCTCCTGGACGTAAGACGGGCCCCTTAGACTTCTATGAGGCCCATCTCCTGGACGTAAGACAAGCCCCTTAGACTTCCATGAGGTCCATCTACCTCCATCTCCTGGACAGACGACGAGCCCCCATAGACTTCTCTGAGGTCCATATTCCTCCATCTCCTGGACAGACGACAAGCCCCCATAGACTTCTATGAGGTCCATCTACCTCCATCTCCTGGAAAGACGACGAGCCCCCATAGACTTCTATGAGGCCCATCTACCTCCATCTCCTGGACGTAAGACGAGCCCTATAGACTTCTATGAGGCCCATCTACCTCCATCTCCTGGACAGACGACGAGCCCCCATAGACTTCTATGAGGCCCATCTACCTCCATCTCCTGGATGTAAGACGAGCCCTATAGACTTCTATGAGGCCCATCTACCTCCATCTCCCGGCCAGAAGACGAGCCCTATAGACTTCTATGAGGCCCATCTACCTCCATCTCCCGGCCGGAAGACGAGCCCCATCTACCTCCATCTCCCGGCCGGAAGACGAGCCCTATAGACTTCTATGAGGCCCTTCTACCTCCATCTCCTGGACAGACGTTGACCCGCCTCCCACAATCTCCCGGCCGGAAGACGAGCCCCTTAGACTTCTGTAGGGCTGTACTATGCAGGGGCGACCAGGAGAAAGAAATGACTTGCTGCACAGGATGTCAACAGACATAGGAGGCAGTGGGCTTTGGACCTCACTAAGTATACATCTGTGGAGGGGGAGGGTTGGATCGGGGTGAAGGGCAAAGAGAATTAAGTGCACTTTGTGTGTGAGTGCGCCATGTTTGGTGAAATAATATTAGGTTCTGCTTGAATTTCCTGCATGGTGCATGGCTGGAATTTAAAGTCCATGACTCCAGTGGCATGTTTCCTTTGTAGTTTTTGGGCCTCGTGTATATAAAGATCACTCGTGGCAAGCAGTAGTATTAAAAAAAAAATATATAAATGGGTGGGAGAAATAGGACACAACAAACAAATCATGGGGGTGGGGTGTGAGATATATGACCTGGAAAATGTTATAAAGGTGAAGCTTAAGGGGTCAGTCCACCCAACATGGGTAATTCAGTTCTGGGTACATTTGGGGTGAGCTGAATAACCCGATGACTTCAGCAATGTCTGCCTCACCTATCCTAGTATATCAGTGGAGAAAATCGGGCTGCATCATAATGGCTGGGAACTCAGAAGTAGGCGGAGTCTGACTAAATGATAAAGCGAATAGGTCAGATGAAATATTCCCAGACATGGCTACAATGGAGGCTGTGTTCAGTGTTTGAAGTCTCAGCAAGACAATCCACCTTCTCCCGGCTTCCCTGGACACACTTCTATCATTCTGTATGTTTTACATCTTCTTATGATACGGGGTTTTATCTTTACAGGTCCAAACATGTTCCAGAGTCTCCGCGAAACCTGAGGAAAACGCATTTCATTAAAAGCATGCGGCAGTACGACACCCGGAGTAGCAGGTACGAGTCTTACATCCGGACTGAGGGTAGAACATGGTATAGCACCTCATCCTTTACTATAGGAATGATAGGGGGTGTAGTACATGGTACATAGCTGGTCCTTTACTATAGGAATGATAGGGGGTGTAGTACATGGTACATAGCTGGTCCTTTACTATAGGAATGATAGGGGGTGTAGTACATGGTACATAGCTGGTCCTTTACTATAGATATGATAGGGGGTGTAGTACATGGTACATAGCTGGTCCTTTACTATAGGAATGATAGAGGGTGTAGTACATGGTACATAGCTGGTCCTTTACTATAGGAATGATAGGGGGTGTAGTACATGGTACATAGCTGGTCCTTTACTATAGGAATGATAGGGAGGTGTCGTGTTTTTTGGCTTCATGGGCAAACCCAATTTTAAGGCTGGACATGTTTGATATCTATTCACCCGACGTGACCCCATTTTTTATATTTGACCAAATATATATTCCTAGAAATACTGATTTGATAAACATTTATGCAAATACCGTGCAACATAAAAAAATTGCAACTAGTATTTTTGTATTCTACAAGATCTCTGCTTTCAGAAAAGATATCGTTGTTTGGGGGTCTGGAGCCGTTTTCTAGCCAAACATTCAGATTATATCGTGTGTGCAAATAGTAAGAAATTGCTCCGGACAGCAAGTGGTTAAGTTGCACCGCACCAGAACGCACAGCATTGCATTATTGCATGTTCCTGTGTGGGCAAATGGCAGCGCAACGCACCTCCTGCCCCAGAACCTGTGGTAGGTGCGATTGCATGGTACAGTGCATTAATCACATTGGACTGTACAATTAACGCACTGTACTAGTGTGTACGGCCCACCTTAAACATTGACATACATAAGATCCACCCGGTCTCCTTATCTTACAAGAACTGGAGTAGATCCTCAGCCTGGCTCCAGTGTGGGCTGCTGTGCTGTGACGGAGCTCCATCCATATCTGCATTGCTTGTACTGCCCCCTTGCACACCCTGTAGAGGTGCCGGGAGCCAGTATGTGATGTCACTCCGGTCCAGACACCTCTACAGGACACATGTGACGCTGTAAGCAATGCATGTATGGATGGAGCTCCCTCGTGGCCATTCCCCCACCTCAAGCTGACACTCGGCGCCGGGCAGCATATTTTGAATGGCTGCTCAGCATGAGAACTGACAGTGCTGCGCTAGGGGGAGGCCGAGGAGCCTCTTGCCTATAGTAGTGTAAGGCATGTGGCGACCCACTGAACACTGGGTTCGTGACCCATCACTTGAGAATCATGGTTCTAACCTATACTACTGCTGCAGACCATACACTTTGCTCCCCCCCCCTCCTCCTCCTCCTATGTTGTTTGAACATACATTATCCACAGACTAAGTCTATTTCTGTTTTTTCCCCCACAGGATAGTTTTGATCTGTGCAAAGCGCTCCTTGTGTGCAGCCTTCTCTATTCTTCCATATGGAGAGAGCCTGCGGATCAGGTGAGTCTGCCATTTCCGGCTCTGTGAATGGTGATAGAAGTAGCCCTGGGTGTTGGCCCATACCACATGACACCAAGAAGACACATGGGATTGGAATACCAGTCTGATGCTAGCCATGCACATTAATTGATGCTTGGACAGGACCACCAATATGAATGCTGCCATCCATCTGTAATTCCATGGACGTGTGGGTTCAGGCAGTGGGGCAGAGATTGCAGACACCTCTAGTAATGGCTTACATATGAGAAAATAATAATGCCGGCCCACAATAGTCTACTGGCCAATCACGTGTTTGCCCAAAATCCATAAGGTGAAGATGATCTTTTCTGTCGATCAATCTCTGCGCCCCTGACAATCCCTTGTCTATGAAGAAATTGTTGCAGGATAGAAAGATGGAGCACCCTTTGTGTTTCATGCTCCCATACCGGATCCTGGCAATTGCCTTGACTTTGCTCTGGCTACCCGCAGATGCACAAAATTCTTATGACCCGCTGGGTGTGCAGAATCTGTATGATCCCAGTCTTAGGCCTCCAGACATGTAAAAAACATTTGTAGATTAAAGCAGAAGTAAAGTCTACACCGGGCAGGCTGAGCTCCTGCTATAATGTGCACATATACACACAGCATAGCTGCACATATACACACAGCAGTCCTGCAATGCTCCTGCACTGGTGATGTAGCTCCTGTGGATGTGCACTGGAGTCACTTTGCCTTCCGCAGCCAGCTCTATTCTTGGCATGCTGGGAGTGTTGATCTCCTGATACCCTCCACTGCGCTCAGTGCCAACCCCTACATCAAAACAGGACACAGGAGTAACCTGGCAGACGGCGGGATGAACCACTGAGCCAGGTGGGGGGATCTGGAGATGTGCAATCCTGAAACAAATCTGGCAATAAGAAGATAATTCCTTGACTTACATGAGGAACACACACGGTAGGATGATCGTGTCTTTTACCTGGCCTGTAACTGCACACAGAATGGAAATTTCTAGAATAAAATAAAAGCCACGGGGGAATTTATCAAAACTGGGGCAGACTAATTCTGGAGCAGCTATGCATGGCAACCAATCAGCTTCTCTCTTCAGTTTGTTCAGTCAAGATTTGAAAATGAAAGAGAGAACCTGATTGGTTGCCATGCACAGCTGCTTCAGATTTTCTGTCTCTAGTTTTCATAAATCCCCTCACAGTGTTTAGTTTAGTTATACCTGATAAATAGTGATCCCCGCCTCATGTCCTGGAATAGAATCTGCTCATTTCTTCCTATATTCATCTTTACATAGTGTGATGTGGTTGTGTGTTGTTCTTCCACCCCAATCACATGAGCTATTCCAGGTGAGCTGCGTAACATTCAGTCTACGACCTTGACATTTTGGTGAGGATTGTGAATTGACCAATAATGAAGCTGCAGTCATTGTGTATCATTTGGGGGAGGCGGGATTGTCCATTCTGATGTAGGAAGACATGGAGGAGGCAGTGTGGCCCTTCTGTCAGAGATCTATGTGCAGATTGTCTGATACTCTGCTCCGGGTGACAACACGTCTTCTTATTTCATGACGCCCCCGTGTGGTAAAAGGCAGCTGGCATGCAGGTAGCGCTATAACGTGAGACACTCAACCAATGCATTGGGCTTTTTTTTACACAGCGAGCTACGATTGGAGGGGACAAAGCAGCGGCACCCATCCGGAGGAACCTCGTCTTCTACAGACCCCACATTTGGGATGGAAGGTGTGGAGCTCAGGGCTGAAGGAGAGGTAAGAGGTTATACTTTGTCTTGTTCTCTGTGGCTCTGGAATGATTGATGAGCAAACACACAATTATAATCTCAGATTAGAGCAAGAAGCTTTCTCCCAAGAAAGGAGTCTGCCGGATGACTAAGTGCGGTCATTCTGCTCCTCCTATCTACTCTGTACTAGTCCTGTACTCTCGGTGTGGTCTCTGTACTAGTCCTGTACTCTCGGTGTGGTCTCTGTTCTAGTCCTGTACTCTCGGTGTGGTCTCTGTTCTAGTCCTGTACTCTCGGTGTGGTCTCTGTACTAGTCCTGTACTCTCGGTGTGGTCTCTGTACTAGTCCTGTACTCTCGGTGTGGTCTCTGTACTAGTCCTGTACTCTCGGTGTGGTCTCTGTACTAGTCCTGGCTGTTTGGACACTTTCAGAATTGATAGACCCATGTCAGTGTGAACATTGTCCTGTTCAGCCGGTCTGCAGTTTGCTTTGTTACCACAGAGGAGGAGTGAGAACAGGGAATGACGCACATACCTGCAGGAATCAGTGTCTTGCATGCTGGTAGATGTAAGTGATGATTATTAGGCTGAAGATCACAAACTACTAGAAGCTGGCAGCCCCTGCAGTGTACAGACCTGGACTGAGAGCATGGGAGGCATCTGCCATTCATTCTTCACTGCTGGGATCACATGGAATGGGGTTGGGACTTGGAGTAACTTATGCAGTGTCTGGCAGATCCGAACAGTTTGTGATCACCATTGAGTTCTTTGTCATATATCATAATATTTATGTCTCCTGGCAGGAAGTCATTGAATCAAATCGTTATGAGAAGAACACTCCGTGTTCTCTGTGTTGCAAACAATGTAAACAAAGCAGTGTCTCTTAAGAAAGCTATTATGTTTTGAAAGCACAGTTCTGTAAAGTGTCTGCTGGCCCCTGCACTGTGCTGAGTGTCCTCACCTTTCCACATGAGTTTGTTTGTAGCTGTGTACTATACTTGTCTTTTGTTGTTCCAGGTTGTGTCGTATGCCAAGTTCTTATACCCAACGAATGCCCTTGTTAGCCAAAAAGATGAGAGCCAGGGCAAGCAGGAATTCCATGATGCTTCCAAGCGGAACTTCTCCACCACCCGCTTCACGCTGGTCTCCTCAGGAACCGAATTAGGTAACGATTGACTGCAGGCTTTTATTCTCCTCTGCTCCCTTCTCTAAACACATTTGGCTACTCAGACTGTGCAGAGGGCTGCCACTCATAGCAAGCCAGTGTTACAGGAAGTGTACCCAGGAGTATTGTGCACCGGGCTGCATATCCAACATCTACACGGTTCAAGAATACACAGAGCCATGTGACCATCAGATATTTACCAAGGCTTGAGGGACACATGTAAGGACTTCAGAATAGGTACCAGTGCAGGACCCATATTCTGTAATACTTTACATGGGTGCTGATGGCGGCCTGTGTTCCAGCATCCCAGATTTGCCTTTAAAAGTATAGCTAAAGGTAAAATGTTTTTGCAGTTGTGGATGACGCGTGGTAGGGTTAGAACCCTCGTCATGTTTTTGTCTGCGGTCTGTCTCCGCTGGCGAGACTCAGCCTTTCTTTGTCCTGGTGACTACTCTTACTTAGAAAGTGATGGGAAACCCATACTTCTATGGTTGTCACCAGAACATGAGTAGAGGGGAAATCTTCCGACGGGGACCCGGTGACATATCCTCTCACTTCTTGTTGTGTCTACAGGACAGGAAGTGAGAAAAATCCCCCCAGTACACATGATTGTATTCATTACATACTCTATCCAAAACAAAGCTGTGGTTTAGGTATTTGTGACGAGGAGTGCTAGACTTTGAAGTCCTAAATTGTCCAGCCTTTTAGCATTTACTATGTGAAACCCAATACACGTGAATTGGTTAACAGGAAATGGTCTTGGGGAGGAAGATTGTTCTGCATACTGTGGATTCCTTTTCATCCTGATTGAAATTATTGTAAACAGTAACAACTTAAGAATCTGTGGGGACTTGTCTTTACTAGATAGTTGTTGTGTATACAAAGCTTTTGTCTACACGCTGGTGAATGTTAACCGGTGACAGGACAGTGGGAGAGCTGAGAGATTAGTGCGCAGGACGCGTCTTGTTTGACTATCGCTGCCATGCTAAGTATCCCAAATATTTCTTCGTTTAGGCTCTGAAGTAGAAAGCTTTGAGTATAACCCTAACCTGTTGGATGACCCTCAGTGGCCCTGCGGAAAACACAAGCGGGTTCTCATCTTCGCGTCTTATATGGTAATTATACTCATCAGTTTAATGACGGCAACTTGAGGCCTGTCCTCGCATGGAGTGTCGGCTACAGAAAAACACGTATTTCCTATTCCAGACAACGGTCATAGAATATGTGAAGCCATCTGATTTGAAGAAAGACATGAATGAGATGTTCAGGGAGAAGTTTCCCAATGTGAAGCTGACTCTCAGCAAGATCAGGAGGTAAGGAGACGATTGGAGTTCTGGACGGGTGATGTCTGGTTTTTAACCTTTTCATAGGTGGTCACAAAGCACAACACTGACGGCTCCCTTACAGGGCAAAACATGGCCGTGTGACCTTTAAGATGTTTTTGGGCAGGGTTTGTTGTGCTGCCCCAGGTAATCAGTTCCAGCATTCAGGCCGTGTTTGATGAAATGTTTTCTGTGCTTTGTCCATCCAGCTTAAAGCGTGAAATGAGGAACGTAGCGGTGGAGTGCAGCATGGAGCCTGTGACGGTGGCCATGTCTTACGCCTACTTTGAGAAGCTGGCGCTTCAGGGGAAGGTGAACAAGCAGAACCGCAAGCTGTGTGCCGGTGCTTGCGTCCTCTTGGCGGCCAAAATCAGCAGCGACTTCAAGAAGCCGGAGCTGAAGCATCTGTTAGATGTAAGTTTGGGGTGATGATGGAATATATCTTTGTAAACAGCTCATCTTACCATACTGGTACTAGACAGTGGTGTAACAACCGGGGGGGTGCAGCCGGTGCGCTTGCCCCAGGCGCAGAGCTGGGGGGGGGGGGGG